TGCTGTTTGGGAGGTGAAATGAAGAAAAGACGATTCTCAATTACTGAAATCATAAAAATATTAAGGGTGATTATTTACACATTTCGGGTATGTTAGTAGTTCGGACTTGGGCACACTCCAGCCTGGATAATTACTATTTTTCCTTTGTGTAGCCTTCTCTCCATTTATTTTAATTGGCTATGAGGGCAATATGCTTTCTGGCAATCTATTTTGGAGCACTTCTATACGTTTGCTTCAAATGATTAGATCTGCCAGATGCCACTCTTGAACTATGTCTGTTCTGGGGGCGGGTAAAGAAGTGTAGCTTCTCCCATCTCTCTTCTAACACAAGCTGTGAGTTGGCTCTGGTCCGCCTCTCTGAGAAGGTGGTGTATAACATTGCTTCTGGATGAGGAAGGCATTTCAGTGGTGGTGCTGAGCGTGGTGCTGAGTGAGAGAGCGGGGAGCACATATTTTTATACTCTTGATTAGCCAGGAGTGATTTCCATAGCCAAGCAACTGTTGGAATGTTATGGGCATTTTCAAAGCCAAAGTTATGTACAATGGTTAAAGTTTTTCTCTGTGGGGGGAAAGTTAATGGGGGGACCTGTGCTTGTCCATATGTTTTAGGCATGAGCCTTTTTTGGGGGAAGGAGGGATAACAGTTCATTTTTGTATGGGTACATGTTTTTAGTGTCTTTGTCCTCTATGGATTGCCAGGCATTTCCCCACATCTTGATGAGAGGGTACATACAATCTGATTTTCGAGTGAATTCTATACTGTTGCACAAAACTGATGAACACAGACATGAGGACCTTCTTACAACTAACACATCTTCGTGGGGAGCATCGAGATGGGTGCTACTTAAAATTTGTCATATTAGAGAGCATGCAATATAGAATGCTATTAACAAACATCCACCTTAATTTTTTTTTCTGGTTAAATACATCTATATCATGTGCTATGTATGAATCATTTGAGCAGCTGAAAACATCCTCATTTTTGAGGAAAAAAAATCTGGTCCTGTCCAGACATCTCTGCACCTACCTTATACGAAGGTGAGATCGTTTCCTTTGAAACAAGGATGAAAGCTCTATTTCCAAGTGTCAAAGTAGAATGTCTACGTCAACTAAAAAGTAGCCTTCTACTTCCTGCGGGACTTAGCAAAGAGCCTGGGCTTACTTAGACCGCTCCTGCTGAAGCATGTTTGCAGCAGTATTTTGGGAAACATTTCAGCTCAAGAGACATATTAACTCTTCAGTACATACTGAGTAGTCTCTAAACGCTGTTGCTGGGGCCAAATTACATCACCAGAATACAGCATATTTTGGCTAAAACCTTAATTTTCTGATAGAATGTATTTTGATGAATATAATTAAATGTTATGTCCTTGGCTTTGGTCAGAGGCCAAGTTAAGAAACTGTTAGTTAAAGAATATTTCTTAAGCAAAATTGCAGTGTACATAGCAGATATTTTCAATAAACATTGTTGAACTAATGAATAAATTAAAGACATTATATACCCTGTGTGAAAAACTCCTCCCAGGGCTTATTACCAGGAGAGTTTGTTTTTCCATATGGATTCACATACTTCTTTTGATTTCATTACTCCCTAACTGCTTTCTGATCCATTTTAATTTTTAACTTAGTTTTATGTATTTTAATATTATAAAAAATTCTCTAGACTCTAAATCATAGAGCACTTTAGAATTCATTTAGTCCATTTCACTATCTGCTTCCTGAAATGCTTCATATCCAGTTGGGGAATGAGGAGGTCATAGGTAGTAATGAAAAAGAAACCAACAACAAAATAATTTTCCCCAAACAGCTCCTTCAGGAGGAAGAGAGTTCAGTCTGAGGCACAGGATTGGTCCATAGTGGCACCCACAAATAAGCCCCCCAAAGTTTGGGCACTTTTACTAGGGCAACCCTACAACCTGGCCCTAACTCAGTGTATCCATCAGAACCACCAATTCCATCACTATGGAAAAAAATACTAATTGAAAGAAAGGTTTCATTGCTGTGATGATTTATAATTTTTGACTTATTTTATGTAATTTAAGCCTTAGGAAAGTTCATTGATTTTATTATTTTAATTTTAATTTATCTTTATCGTTGAAAGTATTGCAGATGATTTTAATTTGTCCCTGCAAACATTTGTTGGGAGTCTCAATTTAAGTTGGGCAATTTACAAGAGCAGATTTCCCTCCTGAGCTTTCTGAGCACGCTCTGTTGTGGGGCAACACCTCAGTGTTTATCCACTTTCTTCCCCCAAAGAGCCCCTTCAGAAGATGTTACATTATTTTATTTACATATTTTCATCATTTACTTTAGGGGGAGGAATAATTTAAGTGCGTTGAGATTAGCATGTGTTGGGTTTAGATATTATTGTAATCTCAGAAGCACAACTTTCAACAGGTTACCTGCTATTTAGGAAGCTACAGACTCTCTCGGACTCTGCAGGTTAGTGGCTTGCAGGGGATCATATTTCTTGTCAGTTTCTAACCTAGGCAATCTGCATTTTGAACAAGGCAAACCACAAATTGTGCATGATACTCAGGCTGTGCAATAATGGGACCAGGCCCAGAGAGAAGTACATTTGCACATTTGCTCAGTGATGACATGACCAGAACCATTTATTCCTTTGTCCTGGACCTTGATGAATGCCTGGCTTGAAATGCAGGCAGCCATCTGTAGATACAGCACACACGTTAACAGAAACCAGTGGTACATTTGCTCACCCCTTATTGCTTTTTTTAATTCAGCAGCATGAAAGGAGGACACTGCAAGGAAGCACATTATGATTTACGAGTTGTGGAGCTGTCTGCACTAAGATTCTGAAAATCATACTGCAAGCTTATTTCCTTTGAATTTTGAAAAGAAAAAAAATTGTATTTTCTGTCCTCATTTATGAAATTGGATGCTTAAAAATGGTAGAGAAATTATGATTTTAATGACTTAGTTTATATTTGGTAGAGGAAATTCAGCTACATAAGATGAGTTTCTGAAAGGAAATAATTTTTATATTCTGTTTGAAATAATTCCCCCGATGGAGGTCTTCTGGAGTTCATTTTCTTGACCAAGACGATCACTTTGTAGCAGATGATGGCTTTAGTGTTGAAGAATGTCAGCCTCTGACCTTGAAGATCTTGTCTTCTCCCTGGTTTTGCTTCTTTTAAAACCAATTTATATAATGTAATATTGTTATGTAATTATTCAAAATTTGAATAATTTTAGTTGGTATGCCTTTGACTCGTATACATTTATAAATATACTAGAGGCCTGTTGCAGGAAGATTCCTGCAAGAATAGGGGTTCCTGCAGCTGGAGCGAAGCAGCGTAGAAGGGAGCGAAGCCCGCCTTGGCGCACTTTGCTCCCTTCTCCGCTTCATCGCTCCCTCCCTTCTCCGCTGTCTCTGCTCCGCTCCCATCTCTGCTGCCTCGGCTCCCTCCCTTTGCCGCTGCTTTAGTGCCTTCTGCAGTGCTTGGCTTCCTTCTATGCTGTCTTCAGTCTTCGCTCCGCGCCTGTGTATGCAAATTAACTGCCATCTTTGTTGGGTTAATTTGCATGCTTGCTCTGATTGGCTGGTGGGCATAGCGGAGGGATGGTCAGTTTACATGATTCTCTTTTATTAGTGTAGATTTCTTGGCATTTAAAAAATATTTAAAAATCTCTCTTTACATATCCTGCTCCTATTAGTCTGAGAGAAACAACTGGGAGAAGGAGGAAGGTGAAAATTACCAATGCATTTGTAGTGCGCTGTGTCACCAGAGCTCTGTTCTTGTAAGGAGTATTTGATTTCTACTTGAATGAATACCGTGTACTGACTATCCAATTACATCTGTGATCACATCACTATTGACCAACTAACCACACATGCACAAACATGTTTGAGTATGCGTGCTCAAACACACACACACACACACACACACATTCTTCCACACTATATAATAACACCTTTTATTTGATGCAATTACCCCTGTTAAGAAGATAGGACGAGTTTTACCACTGAAGAGATTAAGTGATTTTTTCCAGGTCTTAAGACCAGTAAGTGATGGGCCTTTTTGTAGACCTTTGATCATTTGACTTGGGTCCTGTCACTCCTTCACTCAGGAAATACACTGAACATGATAGAAAAGATGGTGTGTCATAGAGTCACTTTGTGTGTGTTATTTAGTGGTAATCAGGGAAAGCCATTAGCTTATTATTGTTATTAATACCAATATTATTTTTTCTCCTCAAGGGCTCTGGATGAGAAGACTGCTGCCTAACACTTTGTTCTTCTGGTTCTCAGGAGCTAAAGTGTACACAAAGCAAAATAAACTTCTAATGAAGATTATTTGCAAAATAATCCTATGTTCCTTTTTTCACTCATATTTAGGCCATATTATACACGTCAAAATAAGCCCGATATTCCCCCCAATCCTGAGGCATGGATCAATAGCTCTCAATGCAGGAACTAGTCTGTTAGACTGGGTTTCTCTCATGTCAGACAGCATTGTCAGTCAACAGGCATGAAAGGTGGTTTCTAGAGAGTAAATTGCATGATCAACCCAACTTCACATTCAAAGCAACTTTCACCCTCTCTCTCTCTCTCAATTAAATTCTAGGACAGTGTTGCTTTCACTTTCCCCAAGTTAAGTCAAGGAGAGTCTGGCTTTAAAATACAAAATAGAATATTCATTTCCACTCCAATGCATACGGACTGAAGCTTTATGTTCTAACTTGCTAAACAGTATCGCAATTCTAATGAGACTTGGTAGATATTCCATTCATTCTGTTAGAAAACAAGCATCATGACTTAATGAGGACAAGTAGGTAACCACTGAAACATTTCCAAATTGTCAGTTCTGTACCCATTGTTAAACTCTACATGAAGTTATGTATGTGTGTAAATTTATGCACAATGATTAATCTACTATGATAATTTATTTAAAACCTAAATAATATTCCATGTATAAAATATACAACTGAAGGAACAGAAACTGATACAGTGTAGAGTTCAATGTCAAGTTCTGAAGATGCCACCCAAAGGAAAAAGGGATTTTGGAGAAGAGGGGGATGTAGGAGCAGCCTCTGGGAATGACAGTTCTGACAAGGAGTCTTGGGGTCCCAAAGATGGTGGCAATGTAGTAAAGATCAAACACATTCTGTGTGAAAAACATGGAAAAATCATGGAAGCCTTGGAAAAGGCACTTGCCTTGCCTGTAAGTGGGTTGGACAAGCCTTTGTTTATAGTCACTCTGGTTAAGAAAAAAAAAAAGTGCATATATTATTATGGTTGAAGGGAGAAAATAAAATGGTATGAAAGACTGAAAAAACAAAAAACAACTGAAAACGCTTTTAGAATACTAAAGTCCCCCAAAGAGTCCTCATGGCTACTTTCTCTTTTGTTGCCTCAAATCTGAATGGGTCTCTAAAAAACCACAGGAAAGCTTTAGAAATACATGATGGAAAAAGGCAACTACCTCGGCTTTTAAAGCTTTCTTTTCTCCTGCTTGCTAATGCCTTCCTTTAGCTGCCACTAAATAATTGAAGCGCATCTTTTTGTACCTTGTTGAGCATGGCAGTGGAAAGAGCCACCTGAGTCAGAAGACCTGGGCTGTGCAATTCTTACAGCCTGCTAGTCTGTTTCCCACACAAGGGTGTGTGCTCTATGAGGGCAGGGACTGGGTGCTCTTTTCATTATTGGACCTTCAGCATCTATCATCATCAAAACAGACTTGATCCACACATACTTAAGTGCCTTCCGTGGGCCAGGCATTGTTCTAGATGCTGGCGATGGCACAGTGAAAGAAACTAACACAATCCTTGCTTTGATGGTGTTCACCCTCTAGTGGGAAGATATACGTGATTAAGTGCTTTGATGGATAATACAGCGGAGTGTGTGAAGCACAGTGCGACTAAGAGTGGTACAGAAGCCCTCCCTGCTAAATGGGCACTTGAGCAAAGCCAGGGATGAGCCTTGTGAATATCTGGGGATAGGGAGCTCAGGCAGAGAAAGAAGCAAGAGACCCTGGGATGCTTGGTGTGCTCACAGAACAGTAATAATAATAAACATACACACACAAAATGAATACGCCTGAGATCAGAGAGGTGTTTATATTAGGACTTGGGGCTATTAGCTTTATCCGTTTGGCTTTTAAGCTTGTTTTCGGCCTCTGAACAGGATATTGCACTGACTTTGCTGGTTGTTAAAATGCAGGGGCTTCAGACTGGTTTCTGGAGGGCTGATTGATAATCCTGGGACCTAGGACCCTGAATTTCACCCTCCCCAGTTTTTATTACTCGGGGATAATATTGGAAAGTTTCCCAGCGGAGAGTCAGTGGATATCTGAATGGAAGCTTTTGTTTGCTTTCTGCCCTGAGGGTGTCATTTTGGGTCATCCAGGGTATAAATGGCAGAGCGGATTTATGACAGATGTCGCTTATTGTGAAGGAAAATGAGGTGCTCAGTAGAAAATGCACCCTATTCCAACATTGTGTCTTTTTAGCTTCCCAATCATCTATTGCATGGCTGAGCCTTTGTAAACTGTAGTATATTTTATCTCCTACTCCGCCCAAATTACTGCATTCTAGCTGTTGACCTTGTGCTTTCTGAAATAAGCCTTTCTTCTTCCTCCTCCTTTTTAAAAAATTGAATTTGAAGAGTGTTGATCCATAGGGTAAAGAATGTTTCAATATATGAAAAGTACCCGGAACAGAAGCAAAACAATATACCCCCTTTTCTCACCCAGTTGCTGATGTGAATAGTCATTCTGGAAAGCAGACTGTTAGTGCTTAGTGAGGTTATATTTGCATACTCTCCATGAAGACTCACCCAGGCCTACGTATACCCTAGAGAAAATTCTAATAAAGGTAAAGGAAGATATTTGAGGATTATCTTTCTCTCTCATCTGTCTATTTTGGTGGTGTTGGGAGTGGTACTTGAAAGTTAGAGGTAATAAAGATGACTATAGGGAACCGAGGAAGCAAAATGTGCAGTATGTATGCTTAACAAGGGCACTTCAAGACAACAAGCTAGATATAAATGGAGCAACATGAATAGATATTGAGAACCTGAATAGATATTAAGAAATTAAGAAAAAAAATAAAAAATGCATAGCCTAACATTACATTTGTACATTAAACACATTCATACAAACTTACTATTTTTATAAAGATATGGGCATATTTAAGGACTTGTAGCAAGCAGTTTAGGAATGGGGAAGAATGGGACAAGGGATTAGAAAGACATTGGGGCTCTGTCTGGGTGGCTCAGTTGGTTAGCCTATTGTCTCTCTCTGTCTCTCTCTGTTTCTCTGTGTCTCTTCCTCTCTCAAATTAATCAATACATAAAATTTAGAAATGTTATAAAAAGAAATAAATTGGAGATGAAGCTAAAACAAGAGAGGTTTTATGGTGATGATAGTGTGCTGTGAACCCAGGGATATGATTAACTCACTTCCTTGCTCGTAAGGTTCAAAAGACAAAGGAAAGTCATGCTCTATTATTTGGAAATCTAAGAGTCTTTCTGACTCTCCTAGACCAGTGGTTGGCAAACTGCAGCTCGTGAGCCACATGCGGCTCTTTGGCCCCTTGAGTGTGGCTCTTCCACAAAATACCACGTGCGGTCGCACATGTACAGTGCGATTGAAACTTCGTGGCCCATGTGCAGAAATTGGTATTTTGTGGAAGAGCCACACTCAAGGGGCCAAAGAGCTGCATGTGGACTGCGAGCTGGTTTGCCGACCACTGTCCTAGACTGTATTCTCCTGTGATTCCAAGGACATATTTCTATGGAGGAAAGAGTCTCTGAAAGCAATTCACAATTCATGAGCGTGAAATGCACTAAAAGATTACACGCATAAGAGAAACTAACAAATTGTTTCCTAAATAAGCTTTAGCAATCATGCTTCTAGTCAGCGTGGTATTCCTTTATAGAACACAGTGTTGGTAAGAAGTACTTGCCTATGGGACATGGGGTGGGGAGTGAACATAGAAAGCTGTTAATTTTTATTTTTATTTTTTTATTTCTATGATGCTTTCTTTGTGAGACTTCTCTTCCAGTCTAGTTCCCATGACAGCATCTTTAACTGGTCTCCTTCTAGGTGCCTTTACTGCAGTGATGGAACTGCCCAGGTGGGGGCACTGCTGTGCTCTTTGTCAAACTGCTTTTTTTCTTTGAGATTGGCTTTTCTTTTCTCTCATTTTCTCTCTCCCCCCCCCCCCCCTAACTTTCTCTGCATGAATTGTGCTCCCTTTTCCAACTCTGAAGACGCTTGATCCAATTTAGCACATTTTATGGGCAGTACTTCAGTGAGTTGCTGGAACATATATTACCTCACTCCTTTCCCATTCTTCCTATGCCCTCGCTATATAGATTCACTTGGATTTTAGCATTTTTAAAACAGAAAGGGTGAACCTATGCTTCCAGCTTTAAGTTCTGAAATGATGATACGGTAGCAGAATCACCATTTCACTACATTTTCTCTATTTGACTTTGTTCTTTTTTTTTATTCAGGTGATAAAATCTAAAACCCATGACTTTCGAGATGTTCTTCAGTGGCTTAATTATAGAAGCTTTTATTGAAGCTCCCCTTTCCTTGTTTATCCAATAAAGCAGCGATTACCATTACCATGCACGAATTCTGCTTAGTTATTGGTTCCTCAAATGATAATTACTATTTATCTAATTATGTGGTAGTGCTATGCAGTGGCAGGGTAATTAAACAATGCACAATTACAAAGTAAGTTTGGTATTTGGGGGGAGTTTGTTTAACCAAAATTCATTTTAATGATAACTCATTTGATACCGAAAGAGAATAGCATCACATTATTTGTAGGAAAATGGCAAATGTCATTTAGTTTCACATTATAACCTATTATAGTTTAGCACTGAAGAAGCAAAGTGTATTCTCCCATGAAAATGAATTCCACACACTTTCCTGGTTACTGGGGAAACTAGGCTCTTGATTTTTCTGATCAGGCGGTAGTTGCAAGTGATCAGTGAGGAAATATTGATCACCTCCCTGTGTGCCTAGTTTGAAAAGCAATGCAAATGTAGGCAAGAATAGGCCAAATTTAGCAAGCCTCACCTGGGACATCAATTCTTACAGTTTAGTTTCTTGAAGTATGGGGCATGGACTACTGGCATGAGTCACTGGGGACTTTGAGCATAGGAGGGGGCTTTTGTCAAATGTCAACTTCTGGGCTCCACCACCCCCTCACCCCAGAGGTTCTAATTTAGGCCTAGGTTGTGGCCCCCCAATCTGCCTTTTATCCTTGTAGACTTAAGTGCTCCCCAAGTAAATCCAAGGCATCTTTAACTCTAAGAGACACCAAGCACCATGAGGACATTCAGGCCTAATCTGTGTTTGGGTACCTGTGGGCTGTTCCTTCCCCCCACCCCCAACCCCAGTACTTCTGTCTGACATAGGCTTATGCCATTCCTCCCTTATTTCTCATAAAGTCACCTTTCTCCTTCCTTTTCAACTTCAAAATACATTTTCATTTTAGAAATTATTAAGTTTCCCAATTAGCGTACTCTTCACAAAATATTACATTAATATGTGTATATCTTAGAATGGGGAGTGTGATGGATATGAAAAATGGAGACAAGGATACTGGATTCACCAAATTCATTTTGGAAGACATTTGGAGAGGATGCTAGGTCCTTTGGAGATCTTCATTCAATTCTGCTTTCAAAATAAGGGTTAGTTTAATTGGACAGTTACTCAGGTAGGTGAAGTATTTTGTGTACATTATTCCTTTTAATCCAAAAACCTGTAGAGGAGAAATATTATTATACTCCTTTTCACATGGGAAAATGTGGCACAGAGAAGCTAAGAAACTTTCCCAAAGTCACACAGCTCAATAAATATTTATTGCTAAGCAAAATCTGTGTAATTCTGCTGTGTGAGAGGAAGAATAATTTTTCCTCTACTTTTTTAGGTTGTTGGCTGAGACATCCCCTGTAATAAAAGATAGACTCAAAGGAAAAAACATAGATGTTTAAGAACATGTACTAGTATACCTCCAATCTACATGGCAGATATCCAGGAAAATGGAGTAACTTCCTGAAATGGCCCAAGCCACCACTTTAAATACTATCTCTAGCTAAAGGCAAAAGAAGATATTGGGGAAAGCGGGGGTGGGGTGTGTGTGTGTGTCGGGGGGTGTGGGGTGTGGAGGTGTGGGGGCGGGAGAGTTCAGTTATGAGGGGTTACCAGGCGGAGCACTTTAATCAAGTGTGTGTGGTTGTTATACAGATTTATCCACACCTTCTCCATTGATATTTCTAGAA